TAGCCGTTACGATCTTTCTCCTTGTTATTTCTTTTTTTTAATTAATGCAAAATAATTTGTGAGGATTTTCATTGAATTCATTGTTGATAAAATTTTCTTCGGACGTATATATTTACACTTATTTAAATATGTTAGAAGATTTTTGTTCTAATTATTTTATTTTTGGATTCCAATAATCATTATCACACTCAAATTTAGAGCTTATTTAGCAACTCCACAAAAACCGGCTAGAATTTAGGGAAAATAATGCTTGTTTAAATTGAGCCGAGATTGACCCCGTTTTTCTTGGACAAAAAATAGGCATTAAAATGTTCTTTGATCTAGCCTCCATTGGTTTGAACTTAAACCGATATACAATAAAACTTCATAATAATTGCCAAAAACACCATGAGGCTATAGAGAAAACTAGGTTAGATGCAGTGGCGTAGCCAGAAATATTTTTTGCCCTGGGCGAAAACTAAAGGTGGTCGGCGGTGAGGGACTTGACAGAAATATTTTTTGCCCTGGGCGAAAACTAAAGGTGGTCGGCGGTGAGGGACTTGAAGCGACGGAGGAGGGAGAGGAGCTCGGTGAGGGAAGGTGGTCGGCGGTGAGGGACTTGAAGCGACGGAGGAGGGAGAGGAGCTCGGTGAGGGAGAGGAGGGAGGTGCGGGAGAGGGAGGAGGGTTAGGGATTGTTGAGATGGAGGTCCTGGAAGAGGAGAGAGAGGAGGTTGGATCTGTGGAAGAGGAATGTGAAGTGGTCGGAGAAGAAAGGAAGCGAGGGGAGGCGGGAGGGGGAGGTGAAGTGGGGCAGTTTCTTGCCCTGGGCAGCTACCCAGGGCAAGACTGGCCTGGCTACGCCCCTGGTTAGATGTGGATCCTTATCAATTACGTGATAATCGCAAAGCCCAATTACCCTAATCATTATTGTTTGTTATATTCTCAAGAGACGAGATGATGTCACGTTTAGCTTATGTTGATTTTTTTTACTTTCTTTTTTTTTTCTTGAGAAATTTCTTTCCATTTCTTGATAAAAAAAATTACACATGTGATGATGACAAGCGGGCAACAAGCTGCGCCGCTAATCCTTTATATAGAGATTGATTAATATTTTGGATCATAATTTTTTTTGGAAAAATTTGCAAAATAGATCTATTTTGCTAAATATTTAGCAAAACAGACCGTTATGCTAAATATTTAGCAAAGTAGACCTCTTTTTGACCAACAGGTCAAAAAGAGATCGATTTTGCAAAAATAGACTATTCGAAACATACGAGACTAGTAGTCGCGTATGATTTAATGGTGATAAAATCATACGGGACTACTAGTCCTGTATGTTTCGAATGGTCTGTTTTACAAAATCGATCTCTTTTTGGCCTGTTGGCCAAAAACAGGTCTATTTTGCTAAATATTTAGCAAAACACATCGTTTTGCTAAATATTTAGCAAAATAGGTCTATTTTGCAAATTTCTTCTTTTGAAAATTTTTTTGTTTTTACAAGAATACATAATATAATTTTGACGGACTTATACGAGGGAGAGTTTTTTTTTTCTTTTGTTTTTTTTTCTTGCCCAAACAAGAAAACAAAAGCAGGAATGCCTAATCAATAATGAGGTTTTCTACGCATGTACCCTCCTAAAGATACTATACGTCGGTATAAATGCGGGTATAACATAGCTCTAGATTCCTCACCAACTTAAAAAGTTACGTTAATTTTATCATCTCACGGATCAAAAATGTCTCCCGCAACCCATATTTAGAAGAATTCATCAGTAAATCTGCCATCAAGAATTAACCAACTCACAAAGACTTGCATACATCAAACAAATGTTTTTTTATTCATGAAATTTTGCTTTAGTACATATATGATGCCTGATACAAAAGATCTACTTCTAAAGTAAATGTTAACTATACTACATTTTGGTATTAATTTGATAATGCTCCACAAATTTCAAGCCAAAATTAGAGGAGTTTCTTAACCTTTTTATCATTCACATGAATACAAGAATAAGATACCAAATAATAGTACAACAAGCATTACTCTATTTCTGTGTACATTTAGCCAGCTTATATAATCCTCCCTCCCACTACATTTACCAAAATTCTGACAAGGTCACATAAGGTGATAAATGAAAGGCCAATATACAAAAGAATACAACTGTGCTGTACTAATTAAATTAGATGATTAGATCTCTCCCATTCTTCTGCAAATTTTTCTCCTTTGATGTGCAAAAGACAATCGCGCATGGTTGCCACACAAAATGGTAAAACCTCGGTCAGTTCTTTTTGTCTCTGATCCATTTTGTCGCAACCCATTTCTCTCCTTTAATGACAGGGCAGCTACCATGAAGAGATGTCTGTATACAGAAAAACATGCTTAGTCCAAAACCATACTCGAATGACTACAAAAATGTTATATAAGGGTAAATTTCGAAAAAAAACTGCCATGAAGTTTGAAGTTTTTGTACAAAACTACAATAAACTCTTATAATTAGACAGAACTGCCATAGTTGGCAGCATTTAGGGTAAGGTGTTGCATGCTTTGCCCATGGATGTTTTGGATAATTTTGTCCTTACATACTTTATATATGTTCTGCATTGCCCTCTCCCCTTCTTGTATTTATAAGGATAGTCTGGACCTTTCATCCAGGCCATTAACATGGTTAGCAGCAATTTCAATAGCTTATGGTATTTTTCTCCAGTTTTAACGAGTTCATAGTAGTTTTCTCAATCGAAAAATGATTTCAAAATATTATGGATAATCCAGTGTCTGAAGAAACATTCTTTAATCCTTTTCCAGACAACATTGGCTTAGGTCAACCTCACTTGCACATGTATGACATGAAATAATAAATACAACCACATTGAGGTTACATCTTTAAAAATCAGATAGAAGGCAGGGTTTAAGTACAACAGTTGCTGGAATGTTTTGTATATAACACAAAATCCTATATGTAATTCATCTAGAATATTAATGATAAGCAGAAAATTGAAGAAGACAAAAAAAAAACAAATTAACATTTTTACATGCCCCGGAGCCTGCCCCGCCTACCGTCGCCTAAATCACCGCCAGGGCACCAAAAAAACAAAACAGAAAAAAATTCATGGGTGTAGGATTAGAAGTAAATGCATTCTTTCAAGAAATTTGAAGCGGTTTTCATTTTGGCAGAGGAGAACAATATATTGCCCTAAAAATTCATCAAGTGCCATCAAATGACAGGCACAGATACACTGACAGAAACACTCAATTGAAAGAATTCTATTAGTGCAAGATAACAGTATCACAGCATATCGCAATTTCATCTATGTTATATGACTAAACTCGTTGTTTTATTTGTTTACAGTCGTTCTTTCTCTTTCATTATTTTAAGATGTAAAAATCAAAAGATTGTTAAGCACAAAGTAGTGACTGGCATTTAAAGTCAAATATCAAGATCAATGTAGTGACTGGCGTTTAAAGTCAAATACCAAGGTCAGTCACATACCGGGTCAATTGTCCCATTTGTGAACAATGAGTAAAATAAAAGACCATCTCCTTTGCGTGGCTTAACCTTTAAACCAATACACTGCTGGTAATCATAACCAATGTCCATATTTGCTCCATTCTGCAAGTCAATAAAGCTTTCTATAAAAATGAACTGGTCAATTTGAAAGAAAAGAGCTCTAGCAAATCCATTCTGCTTACTTCAAAGGGAAACATGGTCTCTCCGCCCTCCTCTACATCAGATAGATACAACAGAAAAGAAGCTACCTGAAAAAATAATATTTATATTGACAAAATTATGGTTTATTCAACATTATTTTAAATGGATAATATACAAAGGAGTATATGCTCTGTAAGTACGGAACCATCGCTTAGATCTAAAAAAGGCTTAAGATACTACACATGAAGCACCAAAAAATCTACCCCACCACAGGAAAATAAAAGAACCACCATTTAACACGGGAAAAAGAAGATAATAAAAAGTATTAAAAGAAGGAAAAATCTTTGGCTAGTATACCCATAAGTTCACGAGAAAAGGGTGATGCCCACCTAAAACCAGTGTGAAGTCCGAGTATGGGTAAAGATAAGTATGACTTGGACATCATGAAAAGAGCAGCATCAGCTTACAGCATATGATCTTTAAAACAGAATTAATACCTTCATGTCTCTTACATAATCTAATCATAGATTAGGAGAATTTAGAAGAATGGATCCCTGGCATGTCATTGACATCTTCAAGTGATATCTGTTAACGTATTTGCTTACCGAAAAAAAAATCATCATTGCTCTAAAAATGTTTCATACGGTATTTAGTTATTGGTACTAGGCATTGTGTTTTACAAATAGCTATTCTAGACAACAATGGTTGCTGGGATTTCAAAGACGCTTTTTGTTCAAACCTGGTTCTTTGTATATTTTCTGCCACAATGTCTCTAAGGTGAATGTGAATATTAACACATCAGTTCAGCATTTAGTGGGGGCGACAATTTTACCCAGTACCTGCTAGTCTGTTCGGACTGTGGGTTTGGGTCAAGCACATAATGATGCATTTCATTAGCAAATTTTCTCCTGTTTTCAGGCATTCATATACTAAAGCTTCCCATGAACATAATACAAAAAAAAAAAGTCAAACAACAAATTTCATACATATTGACAACTAAGTTAGTCAGTCCGGACAAAGCAAGATGAATGTTGTAACTGACCCGTTGGCTCTTTTGTGGACCGTATTCAGCTGGGTTGAAAGCGTCATAATGAGAAGCATACTTCTGCCCGATCTCATAACGAAGGATATTAAAAGCCTGCAACATGGTACCAGTCTGTTGTTACTCAAGTCTAGTATAGTCTTCCCGAAATAAAGAATTGACTGACTTGAATATGCAAACTAAACATGATAAAACTTTGACAGGAGGAAAGGTATTAGATATAGGCTGCATAAGAATAAATTTTTGACCAAGAGTCAACCAAATATTACTTAAAAATGGTAAGAAACTATACATTTCCCAATGGCAGGCTAATATTTGTCTAGTCTAGTCAGGATTTGCAACCATAATTACAAATGAAAACCATATTATAATTCAACAGAAACCTTCGCGAGTTGAAGCATCCAGAATGATAAGGTTTCCATTTTATGGATTATGAATCTTAAGTTGGATCTTGTATTGCTAACCAACTCATTTACTCATACCTTGAGCTTTTAAGTCAACTGCAAAGTACAATAAATTCCATGAAATCATGCTATACCTCTCCATTCTCTCTTGGAATCATTGTGGCCCTTGCTATCTTCTGTTCAACATAGCTCAAAGTTCCAGTTGAGTCTTCGGAGGCACTTACAAAAGTTCCAGAACTGCTCACCAAGTCAAATAGTTAGTAATTGACTAAAGAAATCCACAAAGTACAATATTAGCCTGATAAGCACTAGCATTAGCAGAACAGTTCAAAGTCCAAGTGCAACAGCTATGCATATTTTCAGAGTTGGGAAGAATGTCTTCATGATGTGTCCTTCAGCTTCATGATATCCCAAGTTCCAAATATAAGAAAGCAGAACTGAGAAATGCATCCAAGAGATCGGGTTTTAAAGCTCCTAGAGTTATGAAAACGTTGATAAGGTTACCAAATTTAAGCGATGCAAACTTTAGAAGCCGGACGGCAAAGACAGAGGCACACATGGCCATGCCATAGACAAGAAAAAAAATTATCCAGCAACTGTCGTCATAAAAAAGAAAAACTAACTCATTCAAGGCAAGAAGATTCAGAGTGAACAGTTCACACTGTCAGCATTACCCAAAAAGCTTACTAAGAAATTATATTGAGCAATTTATGTTGGTTCATTATATGAAAGCCACATTATAAAGTACTCCCGTCGTGCCTACTTGTCTCACTGAAGAGTCCAATGGCTTTTTTATGCGTTTTATTATAAGTTGAGCCATAATAATTTCTAAAAAAAATTGCATTAACCAGATTTCGGGTGAATGAGTATCAGAATACTTCAATTCAAAATCCTTTTAACATTTTTTAAATTTGTCGTCTTTTATAGGCATTGTTCAATACAACATGACAAACCAACTTAATTTTTCTGACTAATGAGGTTGATGTTAACGCTTATATCCATAGTTTCATAAAGGAACTATGATGCAGCAATAATAATCTCTTCCATTCAGCTATCTACCAATGCGCAAGCAAATATAAACATTCTAGAGACAAATTCATCAGACATTGTATATTTTATATAAAAAATATAGGATACTCCACCATTAAACATTTAGTGTCGCATGATTTCCCGCAACAGCTAATTAAATTATGTGTAGTGATGAAGTAAGTAAGTAAGCAAATAAATAATAATAATAATAATAATAATAATAATAATAATAATAATAATAATAATAGGGCTAAGCGGGCCGCTTAAGCGGCCCACCCACGATTTCAAGCCCAAAAAATTGAGCTGGGCGCTCCCAAAAACCCGAACCCAGAAAAAAATGCAAAACCCAAAACCCAATACCCAATACCCAAAACCCAAACTCAAAAGTAAAACTAACCCTAAATCTGTTTCACTTTCACCTGACGCCGCCAGCAAAAAAAATCTTCGATCTCTACCAAACCCAAGTGCACGTCTTCAATCTTCCGACCGAGCTCGTCTTGGACTTCCGACCGAGCTCGTCTTCGACTACCTGGGAGATCGACGATCGTCTTCGAGCTTAACTTCCGAGCTCGTCGTTCTCACCTCCGACGTCCTGGACTTCCGAGCTCATCGTTCTCACCTCCGATCAGATCCGGTCAATATCGATAATCCTCCGGCCCTAATTACAACGTAATTTTGGGGAAATTTTCCTGCGTGATCAGTCAATTTCACTCATTTCTTGTCTTTCCCCTTTATTTCAATTTCAATTTCCTTTTTTTTCTTTTTTTCTTTTTTGATTTGATATTTGATCTTCATGTTAGTAATACTTTTTCAGTTCAATTTGTGGTTATACTGATCTCGAGACTATTTTGTATCTTCAAAGAAGTTGTGAATTTTGTGATGTTCAAAATTTTAGCTGGGTAAGTACATTGGAAATTGTCAATTTAATGAGATTACGAAATTCATTGATATATGCTCTGTATGTCTGAGTTACAGCTGTAGTGTATCATTATTTATGGTTGTGTTTGTGTATTAATTTCGACGAACAATTTAATTACGAAAGGAGAAGTGATTCTGCTTAACACAATGTGGAGCTAGGAGCGCCCAGCGTTTAATATAACATTGATAATAATAATAATAATAAAGAAAGTTAAATATTCAAAACCTATTAATTTAGTGATTATCAAAATTTTGTGTAATATGCAATTAACTTATTGTTTTATTTGAATTTAACCCAGCCATAAAAGGAGGTCAATCCAACAACCATGCAGACTTGAAGAACAGACAGCTTGCAAAGGGCCTGCTGTCAACATACCAACTTATGGCTAACAAATAGTTGAGAGTTAATTACAAAAGCATTGCTAACAGCAACAATACTGGCGGATAATGTACTAATATCACTTATACTTTCATGGAACAAAAACAAATAGTTGAACCAATTGAAACACCCAATCAAACACCAAGTTAAACCATGCAACTATCGTAAATCACGTGTGCATAGAGTTCCATTGTTTCTAAACAAAGTTGCACTGGTGTACTTATGTCGCATATATAAGAAAAGATTACCTTGTCCTTACTCCTTTTGTGGTATCTTCAGTCTCCCCCTTGCGTAAAGCCAGTGTTGATGGCTTAAGTCTTGTTTTAGCCTTTTTTATTATTATCTCACATTGTTCTGCTGATGCAAATTTTGGAAAATACAGCGCACGTGGTTTCCAGCTCAAAACCTGCTTCGAAAGATAGAAGAAATAAGTTGATGTTAAGAGGAAATCAACTCAGAATGATAAAGTAGTCACAAATTTTAATTATTATCTAAGCGTTTCCGGTCAAAATGATATAACAATGGAACAACAAAGGAGAGGTTAATAAAATTTTGTAAACAGTTTCCACTGACATGAACCTTCTGAATCACTACCGATATGAGATAATTGCTAGCTTAGAGATGGTAATGATTAAAAAATTTGGTTTGATGAGGTGACCCTTATAGTACATGATGCATAATTATGAGAATGATAGGGTGCTAATGAGTTTACAAGTTTTGCTCATATTATTTAGATATTAATACCTCAAATCTACAATAATTCCATATTAGTCCCTCAAATCTCAATAATTGTTCATTAATCCTTCAAATCCTAAGGGGTCTTGCAACTTGGTTCCTCAATGACCAAAATACCCATTACTTATGATTTCTCTCTTAAAACTCTTTAGAAAGGGCTATTTGCACTTTAGTACTCTAAAGTTTACACCTTTTTAACATTAACACCCCAAAGTTTTTGACACTATGACACCCAGAAGTTTACTTTTTCAACTTTGATACATTAAAGTATTTTGTGACACGTGTTATGACCAAGTTTGTGCCATTTTCACTTTGATACCCCCCAAAGTTTTATTTTTGACACTTTGACAAGCCAGACTTTAGGCTATTACAGTTAGAAAATATGTAAACTTTGAGGTATTAAAGTAATAAAATGTGCAATTTTTTTGTATGAAAGTCAAAAAATGTGTAAACTTGGGGTATTAAAGTGTCAAAAAATTTAGGGTATCAAAGTTAAAAAAGGTCCAAACTTTGATGTATGAAAGTTTAAAAAAGCTGTAAACTTTTGTGTCAAACAGCAAAAAAAACCTTAAAAACATTAACTGAGGGTATTTTGGTCATAGAGGGACCAAATTTCAATAAAACTAGGATTTGAGGGACTAATGAACAATTTCAAAGATTTGAGGGCCTAATATGGAATTATTGTAGATTTGAGGGACTGATATCTAAATAACCCTATTAAGATACACCTCTTGCAAGAGTATCATGATGATAATTAATCATGCAAATTGCAGATAACCAACCTTTATCTACTCTTTCAGTCGAATCGTCATCGTTCAACTCGTTTATAGAACGCATCGCCCCTAGTATTGGTCTCTTTAAAAGGTTAAATCGCAGATAAACCCCCTTTCCCTCATGAATTGAGGGTTGATGTGTTATCAAAGGTGCATGCGAGGGGGTTATCCGCAATTTACCCTAATTCATAGCTATTTACCAAATATGCCAAAGCACCGTTACTTAGCTCTGAATTAATGCGATTAATTGAAATCATGCACTATGACCCCTTTCTTTTAAGCATTTTTTTTAAAATACTTTCGTTACTGCAGATGATTCTCATCATTGTCAACATTCAAATTATAAATGAGAGCAGGAATTTGGAACTCGAAGCCATCAACCGAAAGAGATTAGGATCTGATGACCTGGAAAGGGATAGGATGGGGATTAGGATCTCCGCTCTCCCCATGCGGCATTGCGAGCAGCTCCCCACCGTCGTCAGCCATTTCCATGTACCTCGTGCGAGGTACAGCCTCTCCTGAGTGACCCTGCGGCACAACGTAACAACGAATTAGATCAAATTCGATCCAAGCAAAGAGAGAAATGAAACAATAAAAATAAATTACCTTGGGAGAGAAGAGCATGGATCCGAAAAATCCAGCGAGGAAGAAGAGAGAACAATAGAGGATCGCCACGGGGAGCGCTAGCTTCCTCCTCCCCAGACCCCAGAGAACTCTACCTCTGCGATCTGATCTCATCATCGCCATCTTTTTTCTTCTTTTTCTCCTTTTTTTTTCTCCCCGATTAATTTTGGAGGTGCAAACAGAAAGGGGCAATTTTTTTTTCAAAGTTTGGTCGGAGAAATTACGAGAGGAGAAGTCAGGATGCTTACGGGTTGGGCCTAGTTTAGCACATTTGATAACTTTGCAATGTCCGGTCCACAAAGATAGGGCTAGACATCACAGTACAGCCCATTTAGGGCCTAGGGGTGTTTGGTTCAATGGTGAGCAAAATAAGATTAGGAAAGGAATATTTTTTATGGATTTCTACCTAATCTATAAAATCTATAAAAAGTTTAAGGATAATTTTATGTTGTCATGGAATTTTTTTTTTATCTTTCTATGTTTATTTCATAACATGAAAAAATAAAATCCAACTTTATATAAACCCTCCAATTCTTATTTTTTAGTTTGGTTTGGAATGAGAAAACTTTGGGATAAATGGTGAGAACACCTTAGGTATTCTTACCACTCACTAGTGAACAAAATATTTAAATAAGAAGTTTGAATAATCTTATCTGTTTACCAAAATTCAAAACCGAAAAATACTATAGCAACGGCTAGTTCCAAGGCCTTGGAGGCTATAAATTTGGATTGATGGCTCATGGTGCCAATGTATCCTTCATTCTTACCACTTTTTTTAAATTCTCATAGTTTGCAAGTTTCCTCCCCTCCATCAATATGATATCAAAAGAATGCCCTAAAAATTTTAAAGTTTGGTGCGATTGCAATCTCCAAACACCCATGAAAGTGTGCAAGAATGGTAAAAATAAGGGGAGGCATTATTAGGGGTGTACAGAATACCCAAATAAAGAATGCAATTTTTTTGAATGTGCTTATGAAGGAGGAGAAATAAGCAACCAAGGAAACCAATTTGTCAAAGAAAATAGGTTCGGAGATAAGTATTTTTTAAAATCAAAGAGACTGGAGAAAGAATTGAAACTTGTCGAAAAACAACTACTAGCTTAGAAAATTTTAGCATTTTTACTAGTGATATTTTGTATTATTTTAATTATTATAAACCGCATGTCATGTATTTGTACTTACAAAAACTATTGATATTATAATGAAAAATTTTATTAGAATTGAGTAAACTATCATTAAAAATCGAGTTGATATTGTACGGCTTAGGAATAGGTCATTTTGTCAAAATTGAATGCTCCACCTATAACTTACGGGTTTATTGTAGATTGCATTCTAATGATGGATTGCCTTACCTAGACATTGTCATTTCAACGTAGGATGCAATCTCATCACATATTGCCTCATCTGAGCATAATAAACGTTGTAAGTTAAATTGCATTCTCAGTAAACGTTAATCATCATTGTCAAATATCAACTATGGAGCATCACAAGCTCCAGTAATTTATCAACCGACAACAACAAAATTGACAACAACATAACCGACAGCAACAAAACCGCACAAAAAAAACAACACAAGCTCATGTATGACCATCAAAACTGACAACAACATAGCCAAACCAAAGGAGCTTCACAAGCTCATTCCAATAGCAAAAAAACCAAACAAAAGGAGCATCACAAGCTCTAGATAAATGTTAAAACCGACAGCAACAAAGCCAAACCAAAGGAACATCACAAGCTCCATCTGATAGCAACAAAACCAAACAAAAGGAGCATCACAAGCTCATGTATGACCATCAAAAACAACAACAACATAGCCAAACCAAAGGAGCTTCACAAGCTCCATCCAATAGTAACAAAAACGTACAAAACGAGCAATACAAGCTCATGTATGACCATCAAAACCGACAGCAACATAGCCAAACCAAAGGAGCTTCACAAGCTCCATCCGATAGCAACAAAACCAAACAAAAGGCACATATCAAGCTCATGTATGACCATCCATGATCATATATTAATTTTTGTAAAAAAATGAGTTATAGATTTATACCTTCAACTACCAAGGGGGTAATTCAGGGCTGAAAACGTAAGCAACAAACCAAAGCAACCAACAGAGGCAACCAATCGAGAAATCGAAGCTCGAAATCAAACTCACCAAACCCACCGACAGCACCCACCGAAGCAACAAGATCAAAGAAAGGAGCTCGAAATCGAAGATTAATTTTTGGGAACAAACCTCAAAATCAAAGCTCGAAATCGAAGAAAGGAGCACAAGATCGAAGCCGAAAACTAAAGCAACAAACCCAACCGACAGCAACCCACCGAAGCAATAAACCAACCGAAGCCAACAAACCCACCGAACCCACCGACAGAAATCGAAGCCAACAACCACTATTACAAATAGCGATAAATAGCCCCATAATAGCAGCGCTAGTAGCATTAGCGATCCTTTTCTACTATGCTATCGCCCAATAGCGGTGACATATTACGGAATATGTGATTTCCGCTTTTTGATTGGTATTATAAAAGTGGTTTGGGATTTATTTTTTTAAATTAAATTCGACTTTTAACCATTGTATTCCACCGCCTCCCACGATTTTTAGCGTGCTCCCACTGCCTCTCATTGTCGCTAGCACCTAACTCAGCACTTCCTCTCATCTCCTTCGCCGTGAGCTCCTCCTAGGGTAGTCCTCTCACCGTTTAGCTCATCTTCTCGAATACGACGACTCTTTGACTTCTCCTCCAGTCGTCTTTACTATTATGTGATGATTACATGTCTATTTCATGTTTAGAATCTCTTTAAACCATCAAATATGCACTTTTAGATTTTCTAGATTTTTCTTTAATTTTTTTAGTATTTACATATATCTAAATTAGACCGCTATTTAATTTTACGCTTTTTACCGCTATTTCACCGCAATAGCCCCAGATAACCTTAGCGATGCCTCACCGCTACGCGATGCTATCCGCTATCGATAACCTTGCCAACAACCGACACTAGAGCTCGATCCAGAGCCTCATCTTTGAAAAAGAAATTGAAGAATGGTTCGAGAAGAGGCGCGAAGAGGATTGAGAAGAGGCGGGAGCAGATTAGCGGGAGAAGACCGAAAACCAGATCTAGGGTTTGTGAAGAGGCAGATTCTGAAAAATAAAGAGAGATGGAATATGTATGGGGTGTGTCAGTTTTTTCACCCAATTTCACCCAAACTCATTGGATTTGGGTTTTCATAAAAACTCTCATCGTTTTCAACTTTTAGATTTCAAAATCTATAAAATTGTTATGAACCAAATTTAGGAATAGGATACATAAAGAATTTTTTATTTACAGTTTTTCCCCTGTCAGATCCAATTTCTATTTCTATTCCATAAAAAGAGTGAAAACACCCCCTAGTAGTAGCCAACATCTCGCAGAATCCTTCACGGATTTTATTTTCTGTGGCATCTTGCATTATCCAACCTTATCCTCATAAATGATTGAATTTTTATTTTTCATTTTTTTAAATTTATATCAATCTATTGTTTTCAATTTTAGACCCAACATTCATGGAACCAAATGGAGAACAAGATGGCATGTTTCTATATGTTGAAACTGCTAGAGTAGTGTTATATGCCCTTAAACATCCAATACATTTTATTGGATTTTAATTGAGTTTATTATTGCACATGTTGTTTGAGTATCTTTTATATAATTGTTATATTATCCTTAGAGATTATTTTGTTAGATCATGCACTGTGATGGTCACTTGCTTGGAGATATGATCTAATTCAGAGATTTCTTAAATTTGTGCTTAACCTATAACTAGTAAATGATAGCATTGTTATAACAGGTTATTATACATGACAACGACATATAAGATGTGATGGTTGATCTTAGTTATCAGGAATGAAGATTCCCTAGGTGTATGTCATAAGCGCATATTTGATATGTGTAGTACAAGACCTTTTTTTTCTCTAGGACGGGTCACCTAAGAGATAGATAATTCGAATTGTTACATGGTCTCTTAGACTTGATGATATTATCATTTTCGATTTGATAATCTAATATACTTTGATATGATGGTTAAACTTTTTTTACAAGTGGTATACAACCTGAAATGTTGGGTTATTAGATTTTATTTAGGGAAATGATGGATATCTAGATAGGATCCAGTATACTCATTTTTATGAGTTAATTTATTATGCATATCCCTTGAAGATATTAAATTCCCGTCGACGGGTGATTTTTTTTTAAATTATTTTTCTAAAATTATTTTCTTATAAAATAAAATGTTTTAATGTTTCAAAATGATTTTTTTATTTATGATCATAGGATTACAATTTTTTAGGAATGAGCAAATAGATGATTCGTCCTGCTCAATAAAGTTTCCTAAAATAAATTGATACTAGAGGGGACTGAATGTAAGATAATATTATTCATGAATAATTAATCCCATGTTATGAAAGAGCTTTTATGAACAGTTGGTCGGATAGTGATTTGATTGTTAAATTAAAATTATTAATTTGATTAATAATTGGTTCTCGATGTGAGAGCCAATTAGTCTCACTAATGTCATTAGAAGAGGTTTATATGCAATACAATTCTATTTCTATCATAATTGTTATGGAAAGAATATTCCATCTTTAAATGTTATGGATATAGTTTTAAACAAATAAAAATTGTTTTGAAATTGAAATTTATAAGACATGTCCAATCCTATATATATGGTTCATATGTAGCCTTGAAAAAAAAGGAAATAGATTTTGAGAACCTATCTCTCAGTATTGCTCCTCTTCGGTGACGGGTGAATTTCAGTTGGAGGTATTTTCTCTTGAGGAAACTATTTTGCTTTGATCTTGGGACGGATTATCAAAGAAATTCAAAAAGCGTTTCAGGTATTTTTCTAGATTTTATTAATTTCGATTAATCTACATGATATGCAATTTTCCACTGCATTTTATGTTATGATTCCAATAATGGTATCAGAACAGGTTTAGAATCCAATCTAATCAGATTAAATTATTTTTTTTGAAAATCCGGGTTAATGTTCATCGCCCAATATTACTATTCACAAAGGGTATTGTTCATCGGCCGAGAACATTGTTCACAGCCGGCGGTTACTCTTCGTAATCTGAAATCATTGTTCACAATCGTTGGTTATTATTTATGGATTAAAATTCTTATGATTAGATCACAGAATTTCTTTTTCCTTTTTCAATTGTTGTAATA